AGAGAGAGAGAGAGAGAGAGAGAGAGAGAGAGAGAGAGAGAGAGAGAGAGAGAGAGAGAGAGAGAGAGAGAGAGAGGGTGGTGGGAGTTCACGTCATGTGTGATGGGATTGACATCATGGGTGTTAATACCGTTTGCTCGGGCGGGCATGAGTTGGTGTCCTCTCTTGTGTCCTTTTGCTTTTCTCTCCTGTTTTTCATTTTAATAATAACGTGGCACCCCTTGCAAATATATTGTGCTGTATCTTTGATTATGCTCTCAAGTTTGCCTGAGTAATTCTGACGGGGGGGCGCGGGGGGATGTGGCAATTGGACGTGGTATCAAAAGGAATCTGTTCGTGATGGGATTAATGATACATAATTAATAATTATGCCGGCCAAACGTTTGTGGTGTTTGGATGCAGGTTTGCAATGCTTACACTGAGCTTAATGATCCCGCTGTTCAGCGCGAACGGTTCTTAGCGCAAGCAAAGGTAAACTCTTCTATTGCTGGTACGCCTTTTGCGAGTGGGCTGTTGAAATTCACTTCATAATAGTTCATATGCAGTGCTCTGTGTGTTATGCAGAGGGGTGCTAATCATAGATGCGGCGCATCGTGATGCGCTGCACTGCGCACGTGCGCCGCACCGCGCATCCCGCACGACGCGCGCGCACTGCATGCGGCGCACCTAAAAAAATGGGGGTCAAAAAAAAAAAAAAAGTTGTGAGGGGCGGTAGTAGACCCGGCCCCCTGCTCGCGTAAAATAAGAAACGGGCAGCCAAAATTTTTTTGGAGGCCGCGCATTGGCCTGAAAGTTTTTAGCAACCTGTAGTTCGGGTAACACTCTGTTTGTGTGGTAGGGTATTGCAGTCTGTATGGTAGGGTTCTTGCAGGCCAGATTCAGTCATGATGAGGGTCGCGATCTCTCAAAACGTTTTCTTCGTATTACTTCTGAAGTAGATTATGTCTCAGGTCATAGATTGTAAATACACAGTCCTCGAAGAAAAACGTTAGATAACTGTTTTTTTGGAGATGGACGATGCATGCCGAGCTGGTCTATTATACCAAAACTGGTTTGTTGTTTTCGTATTGCCAGCGCTTAAGTAGAGTATTGCCGCCTTTGATTTCCTCTGCTGTGCATTGTGATATTGGTGGATGTTTTTTTTTTTCTCTGAATCAGCTTTGTATATGATGTTATACTTCTTGTACGTGTACCTTCTTCAGGATCGGGCATCGGGCGATGATGAATCGATGGCGATGGACGAAGGCTTCTGCACTGCGCTGGAGTACGGCCTTCCTCCCACCGGTGGATGGGGAATGGGCATTGATCGCATGTGCATGTTGCTGACAGATTCGCAGAACATTAAGGTCAGTTTTAGCACCAAATCTTGTTGTTCAGGTTGGCTTCCACTTGTGTACTCTACTGAAATAAGTCTTTCGCTCCCTTCTCAACACTCATCATGGACCAGTGTTGTTGCTTTGTTTATCTTTATGTGTATGTTTGCCGGTGATAAGCAACTGGACTGCCACCCCCAGAATGTAAAGGGGCTTTGTCTTTGTTGTCAAAAAAAGAAAAGAAAAAAAAAAATGGAAAGAAATAGACTGCTTCACTTCACATGTCTCTCACATCAGATGTCTCTCTCTCTCTCTCTCTCAAAAAAAAAAAAAAAAAAAAAAAAAAAAAAAAAA